GCATACATATTTGGACTCACACACACACACACACACACACACCCCTACACACACACACACACCAGGTCGCAGTCGTTATCTGTCAACTGCCCAGTCGACAGATTCCCGAGCGGAAAATTGTAAATATTGAGCAAACATCTTGTCCCTGAAAGATGAAGTACAATAGCCCGAGGCAATTCATACCACTATTGCTTTTTTTTATGAACTAATATGTTCATAGTTGTTGCTTCCAAATTACTCAATAAATATCCAATACTTCCTTAGAGACAGCCTTGACCCTGTTGTCTGAAACTGTGCTTTTCACAACACCAGTTTCCCCACAACGCGCCAAAACACCGAGAGCAGCTTCGTAAAGTGGCAATTACTGCTCCAACATGAATTCAGACCCACATAAAGAAGTGCTGGGTTATGTGAAAGCAAAATACACAAATAAAGTGAGCCATGAAAAGAGAGACAAACTCACAATTAAAGGAGCCGTCCATGCAGATAAGTCATTTAGGGCCGCCTTCTCCCACCTCTGCTCGTATTAAAAGCAGTGGGTTACATGATAGACGTCTTTAGGCTGACCTCCAAAGCTTTCCCCTCCACCGCCACCCTCATCTATATTTATATGAAGGAGCGGCACTAATTTTGCTCAGTAAATCAGTGTGCACATTTTGTTCTGACCTCCAGCTTGACACTGAATTAAACAATATCAGTGCCCCGAGAAGCCCACTTTAACAAGCCTTAAATTCCACCGTCCAATCCATCAGCGGGGATATTTCTGACACACGCAGGAAAGAGCATGAAATAAGGCAATTATTGAACCCTTCAGTCCATTTTTACGGCTTGGCTGGCAGGCACGGTGCAGCTCCGAGCCACGGACCCGCAGAGAATTTTGCATCGAAATGACAGTTGGTGATAAGAATGCTAAAAATTAACACCTTGCAAATAAGTTTCAGCACCAAGTGTTATCCTGTTAATCTGGATCACTTCAAAACTGTTTGGAAAACAATGATGTGGAGCAAAAATGACCGGAGGGCCCAGACGAAGTCTGCTCGACTTTGAGCAAGACAACACAAGTTGTTCAAGAGTCCCAGTTTGAGGCACTTTTCTCCCAGTGTTCCTCTCTGGTGAATAGAGACAGGAAAAGATGGGGTAACGGTGTGTGTGTGTCTTTCATGGAGGCGGCAGTCGATCCTGTGAGCCTGGGTGTCCTCTCAGATTGCCTGACAGATAATCCATCACACAGTCAGTGCGTCTGACAGGAAGAGGTCTCGGTCAACTCTCTGTCTTTCTGTGGCGCTCACACAAGGACAGTCACTCTCGTTCAAGAGACGGCACACATCCAGGCTTCATTAGAGGGAATGAAGACAGGCGATCTGGGGATATTAGGTGTTTTTGTACACCATCATAGATAAGAAGAAAGACAGAAAGACTCACTAAAAAGTTAGACAATGTAAAGCATATGGAAGCATGTTGCAGAGGTGTACAGTGCCTTGAAAAAGTATTCACTCCTCAAACTCATCTACGTTTTGTCACGTTACAATCATAAACATTTATTAAGATCTGATGTGACAGACCAATACAACTGTACAGGGGAAGGGAAATAATCAGTGTTTTAATAATCAGTGTGAAATTAAATTTCTGTATAAATACAGCTGTTCTGGAACGGTCTCAAAGGTTTGTTCCAGTACAGTGATTAAACATCATCATGAAGACCAAGGAGCACATCAGACAGATCAGGGATAAAGTTGTTGAGAAGGTAAAAGTTTTGAGTCGGTCTAACATAAACTCCCTAAAAAAATACTTTAAAGTCCGCGGGTGTTAACTTTTCAAAATGTGTAAAAGTTCAAGGGATGTGAATATTTTCTCATGGCACTGTATTAAAGCTGATCCCAAAAGGAATGGTCTGATTTACACATACAGACTAGTGGCAGGCATAGGAATAATTTAGTCTGCAAGGAGCTTGAGACAAACAATTGTGTTTTCGGGCTGTTGCTGGATCTCCTGATGGTTAAAATGCAGAGAAAAAGGTCACTAGACAGCGAGAATGACTTGTGGACGTATTAGAATTAACAGCAACTGAAGGAGTTTCGTAGACGTCCCACTGTGAATTTGCATGAGACCAGCTGCTCTTTATCTAACACCACTACACTATTATATGGTGTTCCTCAGGGTTCAGTCTTAGGTCCCATTCTGTTCCTTCTGTACATCAGCCCCCTTGGAAAGATTATCAGTAGCTTCAATAATGTGTCTTATTATTTTTATGCTGATGACATTCAACTGTACTGTTCCTTCTATGACTCAGAATTACAGAAGTTAGCTGAATTAGTAAACTGTGTTTCCCAAATTAAGGCATGGCTAGCCAACAACTGCCTTCAGTTAAATTCTAGGAAGACTGAAACCCTGATCATTGCTCCTGAACAGAAAGTTCCTTGGATCAAGCGGCACCTCAGTTCTCTGGACTCCTCTTCTCAGTTGAGCCTCAGGAACCTTGGTGTTCTGTTCGACCAGTCAATGCCGTTGGAAAAACATTCGAAGCTTCTGGTAAAAATAAACTGTTTCTATCATCTGAGAAACATTTCCAAACTGAGGGCAATGTTATACAAATCTGACCTGGAGATGATTATTCATGTTTTTATCTCTTCTCGTTTAGATTAATGTAATTCTCTTTTTACTTGTTTTAACAAATCTGCCGTCGCTCATCTCCAGTAGGTCCAGAACGCTGCTGCGAGGCTTTTAACAGGAACTTTTAAAAGGGGGTTTTTCTTTCCACTGTTGCCACTGTGCTTGCTCAGGATGAGAGACTGACAAAGTGAAGATTCAACTTGTCTGCTGGCCTCCTTAGATAGAGAACTTTACTAAGTGGCATTTCTATGTATGTGAATGTTCCTGTAAAGTGTCCTGAGACAACTTTGTTGTGATATGGCAATATATGAATAAACTGAATTGAAAATTAAAATGTTCCTAAGACTGTGTGGATGGTTTGGTCTAAACCTTCTCCATAGATGTTCCCTTTCAAGTTTTCTTCTGGAGATGTGAACTCTAAATATGGAGGATGGTGTGTGAGGAAGCAGCACAAAGGAGGCAGAAAAACAGCGCAGAACGTTTGTTGCAGAAATCACCCTATTTCTTTAAAAAGCCAGTTTAGAATAGCAGATGAAGTTTTGTTTGGTTGATATAAATACTTACAGTATGATGAGGTGATGCATACAGCACACATGCTCAGTAAATGCTCTGGATGATTTGCTACCATCTTCCCACAGTTTCACCTGCTGACCTTTGGGACCTTTACTAGACGAGCTGGATGGAAAACATCTGCCACTTTGGAGCAAATGCTGCAAATACCTTAGTTCTCATGTGCCACGCTCTCTCTGTAGAAACTCTCAAGGCTGAGTGAAAATGGACCAACAAACTACTTGTGCTAAAGTCATTGATAGTTCTACTCCAGCGCTGATAATACCCTTTATCACCAGTGGTGACGTATAGCAGGTTCTAAATGCTTAATTTTCTGGTCCTGATCTGCTTTAAGTAATTACCCCCTAGGTGAACTGATCAAAACAAACATGTAAATGACCTGCAAATACTAGATAAGGATAAAATAAAATAATACAATGTGTGTGTGTGTATATATATATATATATATATATATATATATATCTGATTATTTGAAAATGAGCATTTTTGGATTCTTCACTAAAACTGGGCAGATCTATAAAAAAAAATCATTGCAAAATTAATTGTTGTATGTAATAAAAACAGCTCATCTTGTCCACACATAAAACACAACTTTTCTAAAACAATCATTTTGTTGATTTGAAAAATATCCTGATAAGCACGGTGCCATTTCGAGAAATGCCTTCATCCACACAGAAACGAAACAACCCCCCCCAAAACAAAACAATAAACAAGTCATAGTAGCTATGGCAGGCCTGTATGTGACACTTTAACATTTCCATAGATACACCAAAAACAAGAAACGATGCATGAAGCAGACACATAACTTTTTAAAACTTTATTTTAACCTTTATTTATAGAACAGGCAGTCTCATCGAGTCATGACGACTCATTTTCGAGATCCGTTTTAACTCCAACCATGGCTCTTAAATATAAACTAAACTGAAAGAAGACGCCCCCCTAAAATAGTCAGATTACAGGTGGGGCCATGACATTATTGATTTCAAAGTTTTTACTTCCTCCTACATGTCACTTGGTCAGTGCAGCTACAACGTGCGCTCCAAAGACATCTTTACCCGCAGCTTCCCCTCAGTGAGGACTGAACTTGGTAAAAGGGCCTTCTCCTACTCCGCTCCCGTTTCCTGGAAAATCTTACAAAAAGATCTGACGTTGTCGACCTTGACCTCTCTCAGGGATTTTAAACATCTGTTAAGCTCATGGCAAAAACCAACGCAGCCATGTTCTTGTTTTTAGTTTTCTACATCACTTAATAATGTAGCTGTTTTTGTTTTGTTTATATATTTATTTTATTTACTTTCATTTTATATGCTTTTTATGATTGTCTATTCGTGTCTGTACCTCATCGGTGCTCTTTGTTAAAACAGGGGTCTCTTGTAAAGGAGTCCTCGAGGCTCAGTGAGTCTAACCTGTAGAAATAAAAGTTGAATGAAAAAAGTGTTGGTTTTTGCTGGTCTGAACTAAAGATGGCATTTCAAAATTGTTCTCACTCTGGAAGCTCTTTTCAATAAAAAAAACATTTTGGAGCTTCTAAAACAGCTTCTATGTGGATGATGCCTTGAGTTGCTTGTAAAAGGTGAACAGACGTGTTTTTACTGTTATCAGTGTCGTTCTGTTTGAACTCAAGGACACGAAACGGCAAAAACTGCTGAGGCTCTTTCCCCAAACAATCACTGACCAGATTCTACAAACATTATTTTTACTGTAGAGGGCAGTGGAGTCAGTAACATTTCTTCTGATTCCCAGGTTTGTGTCAGCTGACAGTTTTAAACACTGTTTACGTGAGGTAGACGAATAAAAGCGTCACTTCAAAATCTCATGTTTTATTCTCATAGATTATATACAGCATTTTTAGTAGTTTTCAGTAATTGATATACAATCATGATTATAAAAAAAGACAGAGGAATTGTTTTTAATGATTTTTCCCAACACTTGAGATACAAAATGTATTAAAAATTATAGTCATAATGATGATCGTTAACAAACCTTTAAACCTTCATGTATAGGCACAGATTAAAACAGATGTGTATAAACAAGACATGATGTGTAGTCAGTTGGTTCTTCATGAGATGAGGCTGTAGAACAAACTTCATTAACAGCACAGACTGAACCAAAGAGAGCTGCTGTTTGTTTTAGTCACACCAAGTGTCAGAGATCAAGTCCACAGATCATGACTGAGGAAAAATGTCTGTCGTGTCTAATTCTTCTACACAAACACCATGACATGTAAAGAAAGTGTCTTCCTCTAAAGAATGGAATGAAAAAAACTCAAATGTCGAGTCTTTATCCAGTTGCTGACAGAAGTCAACAACGACCCAGAAAGTGTGTGAATTTACCCCCGATCATCACAGGTATAAGAAAATAATGATATAACTACAGAAGCAAATTTGCAATAGGTTGAACTATGCACACCACTTTGAAACTGTAAAAGAAATAATAAAAATGATAAAAAATAAAGGCCTATGAGAGCGAAGGCTTGATGGTCCTGAGGTCTGCGTGTATGAAGGCTGACGACGACGACGATGATGTGTTATAATTTGAAGGATTTGTCGTGCGTGAACAGTTTGCAAAACGTTTTCTATTTCTTGATAGCAGCCACTGCTTTCCTGGCAGCGTCATCCAGGTCGTCTGCTGCTGTGATGGGCAGGCCGCTCTCGCTCAGAATCCTCTTGGCTTCGTGCACGTTGGTCCCTAACAGACAGAAAAACTGAATTACAGCAGGTCGAAAACAACAAAAACCACAGAAATAACACCTGATTTGCCATCTGCAGCCGTGTTAAAAAGCAGGCTGTGTGAAGGAGGAAAGTTCCTCCCGAGGAATCGATCTGCACACAGGCAGATGGATGGAGCTACGGGTCAACTGTGGCACATTGGACTGCTGATCCGAGAACGGTTTTGACTGCGAACAATAAGCAGAAGGGCAATTTGTGCGTGTTGACGCTCCCTTAGCTACAGCGAGGTCAGGGGTGGCAGGTGAGTGGCACACGGGCGGCCGCAGCCCTGGTAGACCAGAAGCTGAGCACAAACACAAGCTCCAGGAGAAATCCTGCACAACCTGAGGCTCCAGGTTCTGAACTGCCTCCCAGCACCGCGAGCTGCAGAGCCAAACGCAAACTGGACAGCTCTGTCACAACACGGGGCGGGGGGGGTGAGGCGGTGGGAGGAAGGCCACTGAGGCGTGGGGGAACGAGAGCGGAGAGGTGTGTGTGGGGGAGGGGGGATGAGTGGAGAAGTGTGGACAACAGAGCAAAAGGTCAGAGGAAGCAGCAATTCCCCACTGCTGCTAAAAACAACTAAACCCAGCTGTTTGTCTGACATTTACACATCTCACATGTGGAAGACCAAAACACGTTTGATTCTGGCTTCACACATCCCTCATGGGATGAAAACAGGGACTTTAAATATTTATCTGCATCTCAGATTGTTATGTTTTGTAATATGTTGAATTCAGCATCTACTTTTCTGGAGGCTGCAGGTCGGACTCGTCCTCAAGTGTCCACATGGAAGAAGCTGAAGCTCTGATTATCCACCACTGGATGGGTAGCTGCTTCAGAGAAATTATTTACAGCCGGGTTCTAATACGTGTTGGGTTCAGGAACCCTTACAGGGAGAAAAAGTTTCAGGGACCCCCTCATGTTTATTAAATAACTTCCTTCGATGTGTCTCTTTAATGCAATGAAAATATCTGTGTGCCATAAATACTTTACACCTGTTCTTTAATATACAATTTGCATACTTTTAAACATGGGGTATTTTTCATTCAAAACACACTTAATTAACAAAACAATTAATTTCAACGTCCAAAAATTACAGTTTTGAGAAACTAAAAGTATCAAAAGACACTTTAAAACTTTATCTATTCACGTAATGAACATAAATGTGTTGTTACCTCTTCAAATTATTACAGAAAACTTTTTACGTAAAACTGAACAGAATGAGACAAGTAACATTTGTATCTTAATTTGTAAAGGGGTCTGGACATTTTGAACAAAGTAGATGTGATTTCCTGCATTAACAGGTTGTTCAACATCTACATGCTTGTAGAAAAATAAATAAATAAATTCTGGCGGACCCCAGTTTGAGAGCTACTGATTAAGAATATAGCGTAAAAACAAAAACAAACAAACAAACAAAAAAAAAAACCCTGAACAAATATGTTGCTGTTGAACAAATGTGACAAGTGTTTTAAGAATTTATTTTAAAATTTAAAAGTAAAATAGGAAAATAGATGAGAAGTTTCTCAAAAGCAAATTTAAATTTTAGTTTCTAGTCTTGTCATTTAATCTTGACTTATAGCAACATTTGTATTATTTGGGATTTTCTGTGAACAAAAAACAAGTTTAACTAAAAATAAATCTGTTACTTGTTAATGTTGTTGGCAACTCCTGCCCAATTCAACCACGACATTTAGTCACATATCTAAAAAAAAAAAAAAAAGTCTTGTTTTAATCTTTGGAAATTCATCAAAATTAATTTAAATTAGCTCCTATTTAAAATTTGGTTTAAAAAAAAGTCAAAAGTTTAAAAAAAGCAAAACTGAGTTTTGAACAACAGCTCAGAAAAACAAAACCTTTTAATAAAATACACAAAGTTTTTGTTTTTAATTCTATAGTCACGATTAAAAAAACAAAAATATGTTGGCAACTTTTCAGAGTTGAATACTTTAACCTCCAGATCAACACCTGATTCTTACAGAACTTTAAAATAAGAGTTAATGTTGCGACTTCTATCGCGAATCATTTCTTTTCCTGAACTCTGAACGTGTCGAGGAGTGCGAGTCTGTGTGTGAGCTCCGACGCTTCTAGCTTGACCCCAGCTCCCCTGGCTGGCGTGTAATTAAAAACTGCACGATATGTGAATTCTGCGAAGGCGCGGCCACCCCGATCGATACACCTTTCATGAGGAATCTATTACGAGCGCCACTTAACGCCTAATATTTCATCTCTTTTGTCCAGCCATATAATAAGTCATTCCAAACACATTTTCTGCAGGCTCGCACTCCAAACAATCAATTCTGCAAAGTAATTCATTAGAATAAGAGCAGGAAGAGGCCTCGCTCTGGCACATGAGCAGGGGGTAGGGTGTCTGTAGTCGTTTTCTCGTCAAACGGCAGAGGGTGTTCTGGGTGCACTTGTGCTGATGCTGTCGCTCACGGCGAGGAGAGTGGGGCAGTGCTTTACATTACACACATACTGACCCATGAACTGGACTGAGATTGATGGATGTACGTGGGCACCTGACAGGCTTATCTGTCAGCTGATTAAAACAACAAACTTAACAACAAGACAACCTCACAGGAGGGGGTGGGGGTCAGCCATGTAGAGCCACAACAGATTTTACAAAGAACAAATCAGCCGATGGAAAGTGCACATTGGAGCGAAATAAGGAACAAATGCAATTTTTTGGCCATATTTTCCATTCATAGATATTCATGAGCAGCAGCGGTGCGTGCCGTGGTGCTCAGATGATGCAGCTGTGGTACCTGTGTTATTCATAGAGTGAAGGGAGAGAATGACACATCTGTGGCTGCGAGGAGGAAGTCATGCATTTCTGGGCTGCTCGTTCTTTCACGTGTGCTCGGCGGCTGATTGCAGTTCCACTGCGAGCGGTAGGGAGCACTGATGGCTCACAGCAGCAGCGACTGAGCCTGGTGAATGAGTGTGAGTGTGTGTGTAGAGCAGGCCATGTATATTCATGTGTGTGTTCACCTCTAGCCACTAGGTGCTGCCAGAGATCTACTCACAGGCTGGACTGGAGGGTACAGTAAAGTGCACAATGTGCATGAGGTCATAAGAGAACACATATTTTTAATGAGAACTCCCATCATTTATTGTAAAAATGTAAAAAAAAACATAACTTCTTGCTGCACTGTGGCTGAAACGAGGAGAAATTTACTTTCAGTGCTGAGGAAACCTTCATCGTTAATTACTGCCAACTCTAATGCCAGTTTGAAATAAATTTTAATTAAACATGTTTGGATTTCGATCTATTTTCACCACCTTTGTCCACAAATCTTTACACCTTTTCAAACTCTTGATTAATCAGCTGATTAGAATGAGACAATTGCTCAACAACTAAACTGGGAACGAAACACTGGCTGTGCTTCGTATTTAGCCGAGTGCTGCAGCAAGTTTTGAGTTGGAGCTCGACTCCCGTTAGCCAACTCACTTGAGACCATTGTGAAAATGTCACTTTATTCTATGAGTCAATTACAGGCCACAACATTTCAGCTGAATAATCAAATGTGGTGCAGTGCCAGTTCCTGCCCCACAGAATTTATGTTCATGCTGCAGAGCCAAAAAACTGTGAGTCTGAACAAGGTAACGTCTAATAAGAGAACACAAGTAGCTGTAACCTTTGACATTTATAATAAAACAACAAGCTATAATCACATTTATACAAAGAAATAAAATGTATTTCCTCAGTTTATCAAACACTGAGCATGGATTTACAGTCTCTGCCCAAAGTTTAGCTGCATGAACTTACACAAACTCTGGTGTCTATGTGCAGCACCACCTGCCACTGAAGGTGAAGGTGGAGCGATGATGCTATTGCCAGTGTCTGCATTCCTTTTTATGCACTGTTAGAAAAAGTTCTCATGAGTCATTGGAAACACTCTGAAAGTAATCACTGGATTGATATCAACAACTGATTAACCTTTGGAGTCAAGTCTCATTCCTGATGGCTGCCATGGCCAAGGAAGCATAGAAGACACAACAAGAGCTAGAACTCAGGCAGTTTAATAGATATTGACCTCCATATTGGTGTGGTAGTAGCTGAGAGTCATCCCCAATACATAATCTGAACACGAACACTAAGCCAATAATACTGGAGTCAACTGTGTCTGTTTGTTAACCAGATATTGCACAAATCACTGGATTGATATTAATAAACGTTTTAAAGAACAATATTCTATAATATATATTAATAATAATTAAACTTTGGAGTTAACCCAATAATGTAATAATAATAATAATAATGTGTTATGTATTGTCATCATTGTATGTTTCCATACAATGGCAAAATTGGCTCTCTGTATTTAACCCATCCACCACCAGGTGGTGCAGTGGGCAGCTATTGAAGGCGCCCAGGGAGCAGTTGGGGATAGGGTGTCCTGCTCAGAGACACCACGAGATGGGACTTTTGGGTCCCGAGTCAGCTACCCTGCCTCTACCCCATCTCAGCCCCCGATGTAAGATGGCTACCATAACCAACTGAACTTACAAAACACAAAAATGGTTACAACTCATCTGTAGCCGAGTTAAAAACCAATCTGTCTGAAGGAGGTACGTTTGTTTTGAAATAATCCATCCATTCAGTAACAGATGAATGGAGCTAACAAATAATTCAGTTTTACATATAAAGAGCTAACATTTGGTGTGGTAGAAGCCTAAAGTAACCCCCAACACCTTCTACAAAATTTTTACCTCAAACTTTTGTCTTAACTGTTGGCGTCAAGTAAAGTTTATGCAGCAGTAGCTGAGAGTGATCCTCAACACACATTGTACATCAGGGATCTCCAACACGTCACTCGTGAGCTCATTCCAAGAAGCTCTTCAGTGCTTGTGAAAAATTAGGAGTAGTCAAATTTGATTTGTCACTGGGCATACAAACTTTCATTTATATCTAATCAAATCCATAGATGTACCTCCTCCTTTGGTTGTCAATCAAACATTGAGGCTGCTATCAAG